TTTTTTTTTTTCCTTTTTTTTTCAAAATTTTCCTCAATTTTTCTTTAACTTTTTCATCAATTCTTCCCTACTGTGTTGGGTTTTGCTTGGCCCAGTTTTTGGAGGTGGGGGCAGCCAAAAAGATGGATTCTGCGAGAAGCTTCTGGAAGGTTCCACCATGTCCAGCAGAGCCAATGACCATGGAGGGGAACAATGTCCTCATGGTGACCACGGTGACCATGGTGGAGCAGATGTGACCACGGTGACCATGGTGACCATGGTGGAGCAGATGTGACCACGGTGACCATGGTGACCATGGTGGAACAGCTGTGACCATGGTGGCCATGGTGGGGAACAATGTCCTCATGGTGACCACAGTGACCACGGTGACCATGGTGGGGCAGATGTGACCATGGTGGAGCAGCTGTGACCATAGTGACCACGGTGACCATGGTGGGGAACAATGTCCTCATGGTGACCACAGTGACCATGGTGGAGCAGCTGTGACCATGATGACCACAGTGACCATGGTGACCATGGTGGAGCAGCTGTGACCATGGTGACCATGGTGGGGAACAATGTCCTCATGGTGACCACAGTGACCACAGTGACCATGGTGGAACAGCTCTGACCACGGTGGGGCAGCTGTGACCATGGTGACCATGGTGACCACAGTGACCATGGTGGGGAACAATGTCCTCATGGTGACCACGATGACCACGGTGACCATAGTGGAGCAGCTGTGACCACGGTGACCATGGTGGAGCAGATGTGACCACGGTGACCATGGTGACAACGGTGACCATGGTGGAGCAGCTGTGACCAGGGTGACCATGGCCGGGAACAATGTCCTCATGGTGACCACAGTGACCATGGTGGAGCAGATGTGACCACGGTGACCACAGTGACCACGGTGGAGCAGCTGTGACCATGGTGACCATGGTGAAGCAGCTGTGACCACGGTGACCAAGGTGGGGCAGCTGTGACCACGGAGACGCAGATGTGACCATGATGACCATGGTGACCACAGTGACCACGGTGGAGCAGCTGTGACCACGGTGACCATGGTGGAGCAGATGTGACCATGGTGACCATGGTGGAGCAGATGTGACCACAGTGACCATGGTGACCATGGTGACCACGGTGGAGCAGCTGTGACCACGGTGACCATGGTGGAGCAGCTGTGACCACGACGACCATGGTGGAGCAGCTGTGACCACAGTGACCATGATGGAGCAGCTGTGACCATGGTGACCATGGTGACCACGGTGGGGCAGATGTGACCATGGTGACCATGATGGAGCAGCTGTGACCATGGTGACCATGGCAGGGAACAATGTCCTCAAGATGACCACAGTGACCACGGTGACCATGGTGGAGCAGATGTGACCACGGTGGGGAACAATGTCCTCATAGTGACCACGGTGACCATGATGGAGCAGCTGTGACCACGGTGGAGCAGCTGTGACCACGGTGACCATGGCGGGGAACAATGTCCTCATGGCCACCACAGTGACCATGGAGGATCAGATGTGACCATGGTGACCATGGTGGGGCAGATGTAACCGTGGTGTGGAACAATGTCCTCATGGTGACCACGGTGACCATGGTGAAGCAGCTGTGACCACAATGACCATGGTGGAGCAGCTGTGACCATGGTGAAGCAGCTGTGACCATGGTGGGGCAGATGTGACCACGGTGACCATGGTGGGGCAGATGTGACCATGGTGGGGAACAATGTCCTCATGGTGACCACAGTGCCCATGGTGGAGCAGCTGCGACCACGGTGACCATGGTGGGGCAGCTGTGACCATGGTGGGGCAGATATGACCATGGTGCAGCAGCTGTGACCATGGTGACCACAGTGACCACGGTGGGGAACAATGTCCTCATGGTGACCACAGTGACCATGGTGGGGCAGATGTGACCACGGTGACCATGGTGGAGCAGCTGTGACCACGGGGACCATGGTGACCACGGTGGTGCAGATGTGACCACAGTGACCATGGTGGAGCAGCTGTGACCATGGTCACCATGGCGGGGAACAATGTCCTCACGGTGACCACAGTGACCATGGTGACCATGGTGGAGCAGATGTGACCATGCTGACCACGGTGACCATGGTAGAGCAGCTGTGACCACGGTGACCACAGTGGCCACGGTGACCATGGTGGGGAACAATGTCCTCATGGTGACCACAGTGACCACGGTGGAGCAGCTGTGACCATGGTGACCATGGTGACCACGGTGACCA